CAGCGCTAATTGAAACATAAAAAAGAAAAGAAAAAAGAAACTGCGTAAATCGTAATGGACGTTAGACGTATATAAAGCTGTGAGAAGACCACAGTTTCGAGAAGAAGCACAGAAGCATATTCAAAACAAGGTAAGTGTGTGCTTCTATATAATCCCGACCGTTGATTCTTTTGAGAGAAATCTTTGTAACATTGATGGAAAAGAATATTCAAAGTGTCTAGTTTACATTTCTTCATATAGTTCTTCGTGAACCTGAGATTTCTTCGTTTCTGTCGAGATGAGTTTGAAGAGTTTTTATTTTTCCTCCCACTGTATCGTTAGTTATTATATTTTTATCAAATTTCTTATCTACAATTTAGTTATTAACAGGTCTTTAAGTGCCACATTCAAAAAGAGATTCAAAGAAGCATGTGCGTGTGTGCGGATGTGGGTAGGGTGTGGACGCATCGATGTGTCGGTGTGCAGATCTGGATGTGCGTGAGCCTTTAGTACACCCATACACCTACACCCGCGCCACATCCATGCCCACCCCCACCTCTACACCCACACCCACAACCACACCCACACCCATACTCACACCGGCAGCCACACCCCCAAAACGGAAAATCTTTAGTTTTCTCTGAAATTGTTGCTTTTGAATTCTTAATAAACTTCTATGTAGATGAGTTGAATATTAAGTGCACAGTGGGATTGTATTAATTGGATCTACTTCCCACACTCTTTTACTGCGTTTTTCTAATAATCACTTAAAAGACGTAATATTAATATTTAGATCAAATAGCAAATGCTCTCTGAGAATGATGGGTGAGCATTTTATGATAATTTAGTTTTAGGCAATCGGAACGACCAGCTAGGTCGTCACAGTGAAAATCGATTTTCTTTTCTACTATTCTGATTTCAATTCTATCAGGTGTATTTATTGTTAGATGTTATCTGAGCTGCAGTTAGTTAAGAAAATCCATTTCCGAAAATGCTGCGTAAATCAACTTGTTCTGATCATAGGTTAAATTTATAGGGGGCTCTTCTTGGAAAACACAAAAAGTGAGAAAATGTTGTGGTTCGTTAACACATTCGATCCGATGAGACCCGCCGGTGGGTCTCACTATAGGATGCGTTAAAAGATCTTTGAGGGCAGAAAAAATTGAATATCTCTGCCATATTTTGACCAAAAGGCGTGATTCTTTTATAACTTTTAAATGGATATTCATAGCTCATATTCACAAGAGAAACATTGACGAAATCTGTTTTGAAGTATTACATCTGCCACAAATATAGAAATAATGACTTGCACGAATTATGAAAAAACGATATTCATATCGTAGCGAATGTGTTAAAGCGATTCTGTAGAGAATGCTCTCGGATCGACATAATCATGAATAGAGAATCTAGCGTAAATGCACGATTAGCTGCGGCTTTCATGATTTATGTAGAAGTAGGTTCCGTTTTCAGCACCAAATATTTGTTCATATGAGAAGACTAAATTACTAAGAGCAATACATAGGGTCTTACAATGTGATCTATAAAAATAATCAGTTCCATTGTTCGAACAAAGATAGATAGAAATCTAGAGAGCATTCGGCAATGATTCTTCTAGAGAAAACTCAGGATGTTTTGTTTAACCCATGCTAGGATTTACAAAATATACGCGATGTTGCAAACATTCGGGGACACCTGTGTCTACACGATACACCGTGAAGTTGAGATTTTTTTGCGGAATGGCCTTGAGAGACACAAATGTGGAGCTTTTTAAGAAGCGACAGCTTTCGAACGAAACCTGAGTAGGAAGGTACCAAAATAATTTTTCACCGGTTCCATTCAGTCCTAATGTAAAGAGAGCTAGACAAGCCGTTAGAGTGAATAGTGAAACTTTTCTCTGTTGCTTGTCGAATCTACCCTGTTCGAGTATGTGTTGGTGTTGAAGAAAAATCAAAAGTGATTTGAATGCTTTTTGCAGAGAAAAAACATACATTGTTCTCTCTTTTTCTTGCGCGTTTTCTCTCCTTTACGCTCTGTAAGTTTCTCTCTCACTCTCTGCATCTCTGCGACGAACTAATCCTTTTTTGTTAATGCAATGACAAGTCGCATGCAGCACTTGAGTGACTTTTTCTTGGTCGACCAACTAGTGAGAGAAAAAGTAAAGTTAACATCGCAGCCCTTGACCAACGCTAAAATGCCGCGATTATTTTCATTTTCGCCGACGAATATTTTCGCCGAATAAATTTAGAACTCAAAAACAGCCGACTCAAATATTAGCCTTTGTTTACTTAAAATTTTGTAGTAATCAGTCAGTTTATTAGTAAACCAATTCATTACTTTCTCAGTTAGTAACCAACTCAATTGGTAATTATGTGAGTTTGTAACCATCTCGGTTGATTACCTGAGTGCCGGTGTACGCACTTCTTAGAATGACAACGACATCCACACCCCACACTCACCCGCACCCCACACCCCATATTCCACACCTCACGCCCACACGTCACACCCCACTCCCACACCCCACATCCACACTCACATCCACACCATACCCATCCCCACCCACACCCATCCCCACCCACACCCACACCCATACTCATCCCCACCCACACCCACACCCATCCCCATCCCCACCCACACCCACACCCATACTCATCCCCATCCCCACCCACACCCACACCCATACTCATCCCCATCCACACCCACACCCACACCCATACCCACATCCACACCCATACCCACACCCAACAGAATTCTTTTATTATTTTTTTTCTACGGGCCATCTGTTTTTTGTCTACATTATTGCTGTTCGCTCATTATTTTTCTTTTTTGAAATTCATTTTTTTCAACTTAACATTCTTATTATTACAATCATTGAACTACTTGACAAATAAGTCTGTTTTACATATTCACGATATCAACAGCAGATGTTACGCACTATCATATATATCAATCAACTCACAAATAATGATATGTATTATTTTTCAAAATTATATCTCAATAAATTTTACAAGAGAAAAACTCTGGAAAATCTGACATCTGATATTCTTGATTGCTAGAGTCTGTAATGCGGATGAGGAGGCCACGAAAACGTCACCTTAGCACTCGGACTCACTATTCCCTTTGAAAGTTTATGTGAGTTCTACAAAAGTAACTTGGATTCTTTGTGTTTTTAGATATTATCGAATGAGTTTAAAGAGAAGTTGCTTTTAAGAAATATATAAACGAAACTGATTATGACATCTAAAAACAGCCAACGGCTGTCAACTCAACATGATATACAAGCAATCGACAAATTTGTTGAACATTTAAATGGAACAGTAAATTCATTATTCGCTCAGCTTATAAATAGCGGCGATAGTATAGATGAAATCGATCGTAAAATGGTTGATCATATTCGTAAACGCATTTTGACAACTGATGCATCAAAAGTTCTTGATAGTCATCAAAGAGTTGTTGCTGCGTTGCAGGTAATAGTCGATTATGCTTATCCTGTATTACTTCTTCGACATTCAGCACCTAATGCAGTGTCTACATTGATATCACTAATTGACTGGATGTTTATTCCTAAACTTGTTGAACGTAAATGGCTGCCAGAAATAACTCAGCTCTTTGATCAAACAGTAGATTCCTTTTTTGTGATTCATAGTTCAAATCAAGGTAATGAGCTTGGGGTCAATCAAACTTCTGCAAAAAATGCTTTTGCATTGCTATTGAAAATGCTTAATTCTGTTTATGAAACAAAAACTGGTCGAATTCATACAAAAGTTATGAAAATCGTTCAAGCATGCTGTCATAGTAAATTTGTACGTCGAAGTGAACTTGGAATTATAATGGCAGAAGATTTCTTTGGGCTTATTTCATACATATTGTATGAACCTATATTCATGCCTCCAAAAGAACACATTACTGGTTCAACATACAAATTTTCTTGGTCTGATTTCCGATATGATGAAGTAGACCTTAAAGGCGAGGAGAAGGTAGAGTCAAAACCTCCAGCACGTCTACGACGTTTTGAATCAAGACTTGTTCGTCCCATCGTTATTTGTCTATTACTTGGCCTCAAGAATGATGAACGTAAAAATCTTCCAGAAATTATTTGTCGTGCTTTGCATACAAAATTACCTAAGCAAATTTCATTGACTGCTTCTGGCTTGGAAAATATTTTTAATGCGTTAATTAAAACACCAGATACTTTTATGCTATTCCTTGATAAAATTTCTGTGGAGGTATCCAACAAGAAAACAACACTGCTTCCAATATTGTTTGATGCACTGGTAAGCTTTTCCTTAAAGAATGTTGAATGCGACAAAAGTGCATCTGAATTTCGAAAAAAAATTAGCATCATCCTGAGTCTTTCTATAATTCAAGAGTCAAGTGATGCGCAAGCGAAGGAAAAGTTTATAGAACTTTTAAAATCATTTGGAATTACAGGTAATGAAGAGAAAAAAATTACAAATTACCATTTTGAAATCATTGCTAACCTAATTCAACAAATTTCTACCACTCATCCACAATATATTGAATGGAATTTTTTGGTTGATACATTGAAAAAAGCATCCAATGCTAATGCTCATGAAATTATATGTAGTCTATTATATGATTCGATGCGTAATGTAGACGGATCACGTACATTGATTTTTATTTTCGAAAAATTGTATATAACAAATTCTCTTCACAAGATAGAACGAAATCTTGTATCAGATATGTGGAAAATGTTTGATATTACTTCAAAATTTGAACAATATTTATTATCTACCATAAAATGCGAAGATGATTTGAAACAAAAAACAGATGTAATTTGGAATGCGTTTACACAATCTGTTGATGATAAATTTCATGAATTTGCATCAATTATTGCTCCAATGTTCGTACAATGCTTGATAGTAGGTCAAAAGAAGGGATTAAATATTGAATGTGGCATAAAATTATCGACTGTAGCAGAAGAAATGATTCATTTTTTTTTTGACATTCTTCCTACAACTTCATTCGGACAAACTTTATCATGCATATTTGCATTATTAAAATTTATTTTCAATGAAGAAGATTGTCATAAGATTCTTTTAACAAATATTATTCCACGTATTCAAACAGAAACAGGTTTTTACTGTTTTGTGCACAGTAAAACATTTTTGGATGACTTTCATATGGTATTAGACGCACTTAAAACATCGAAATCTAATGAGACTCTGAAAAAAATTATTTCCATAATTCTTCACATATTAACTATGATCAATGAAATGAAATTAACAAAAGATGAATATTTATCAGTTACAAAAATTCTTACAGAATTATGTGAAGATATTGAATATGGAATATTGACACGAGAAATATCAATGCAACATCTTGGTGACTTTTTGCAAATGCTCAATCATGATGAAAGTTATATAAGTACTTGTGCTGTTAAATTAATTGGTGCTACATTTGATATGAAACCAAAAGAGCGCGAATTATTATTGAAAAATTATGGTTTATCAACACGAATAATGAAAACACGTAGTAAAAAAAAATGATGATTCATTATCAGGATTACCTCAATTCTTTTCAGTTGATGAAATTAAGAATACCAATGGACTTAGTTTTTCATCAACACTTGAAAAAGAACATTTTTCTCAGGTTAAAGAATTTTTAGAAAAAGAAATTGACACTACACATCATAGTCAATCAACATGTGGTTCGGCTCGAAATCAATTATTAAACAACGTTCAGAATGACGTCACATCTCAACCAGCGCCTATAAGCGATTATATACCGATGGTTATGACAAAAACAACACGTGAAAATTTGTTGATTATTATTGAAGCAGCAAAAAATCCGATACCACTACTTTTAGAAGGTGCTACTGGTGTAGGAAAATCAGCCACGATTACTGAAGCTGCACATTCATTCGGTGCAACTTTAGTTCCTTTTAATCTTTCATCACGATCAACAGAAGATGATCTTTTTGGAAAATTGAATATAAATCGTTATGGTATAACAATGAATTATCAACCATTTACAATTGCATTTGAAAAAGGTTATTGGATTTTGCTTGATGAAATTAATCTTGCACCATCGCAAACATTACAAGCATTGATTGCTTCCCTTGATACAGGTAAAATTACTTTAAAAGATCCATCACAGACAAATTCCGTCAAAATTATTCATCGTCATCCTGATTTTCGTCTATTTGCAACACAAAATCCGAATTCTGGTTTTTTTAAAGGTAAAAGAGAAGATTTACCATCATCATTGCTTTCTCGTTTCGTACCTGTTATATTTCGTAAACTGCCTGATGATGAATGGGTTGATGTAATTGTCAGTCGATTAGAAAGTTTAAAACCATTAGAAACAAATAAAAGTTTAAGAAAAATGGCTGAACAAATAATTAAATTTCATACAACAGTTGAAACTTTAATTCAAGGTGATTTATCAAGTACGCAACGTAAGCAAACATTTCCAGAAATTGGACCCTATGCTGAAATATCAATTCGTGAATTACTTCGATTAACATCACATATTACATTACTAATGAAATCGAAGATTTGGAAATCAATTGATACAGATGAAGGAAAACAATTACTCTCAAGTGAAATGTGGACAATATATGGAGCTAGATTTCGTCGTGAAGGACGACAAGTAATTTGCGAAACAATAAAAAAAATGGGCTTTGTTTATGACATATATCAAAACCGGAGTACTACAGTTAGTATGGTTATTAAACATGATTGTCTTCATTTTGATTCTAATCATCGCCTTCAACGAAATTTAATTGAACAAAGCGTTTTGGAATCTATCAATACACAATATGCTGTTGACATTTTTAAATCATTTAAGATTCAAGGACTAGAAAATAACTTAAATATCGAAAAACTTGAGATTCTAACGAAAGAAGCTGCTCACATCCATAGTCACATACAACAAACATGTTTTAACGCTAAATTTATAGAAAAATATGGACTGTATAACGTACAACAAATATGGCTAAAACAATGGCTTCAATTGGTGTTCTCTAAAATTGGTAGTAATAAAAATTATGAAGAGACTTTTGCTGCATGTGGGATTGTATTTTATGCTTTAAGATTTCGCTTCAAAGAAATACAAGAAAATTTTTGTGAAAAAATTAATTCATCGTTTAAGACTAACATTGATATACAAACAGCTAAACAAAAAGTTGGTGATATATCTGCATTAATATCTGCTGCATCTGTATTTGTTATTACACGACGAGTAGAACAAGTTTGGAAACAAATGGTTTCAGCATTTAGCGTTAATGAGCCAATTTTAATTGTTGGAGAAGTCGGTTGTGGTAAAAGTGAAACTGTTACCGCTTTGATGCTCTTAATTCAAAAAAAATTATTTTCATTAACATTTTCACCCGAAACAGATCCATCAGATCTTGTTGGACAATTTATTCCAGTTGGAAACAATTCAAATAATAACGGCAATCTTGTCGATTGGAGTAATGGTATTGTAACAGATGCTATAAAACATGATGCTGGACTTTTACTTGATAATTTAAGCGATGCTGATTCATGTGTATTAGAAAGATTAAATTCATTATTAGAGCAACCGTCTGTTTGGGTATTAACTGAAAAAGGTGATACAGAACCAATGAAAATACCAAAAAACTTTCGTATAATTGCAACAATGTCTCCAACAGGTGATAGCGCATCAAAAGCAGCAGGCATTGGTGGTGAACTTTCACCAGCACTTTCAAATCGCTTTATAACAATATATATGCCATCATTAAAACAAATTGAGTCTGAATCTATGAATGAATCACTTAATGAAATAAGTATGATTGTTCAAAGATTGTTAGGAGATTCTTCTGACAACATTACCATAGCTGCTTCATTATGGATGGAACTTCGCAAAGTTGCTGATCAACATGGACAGTCACAAATTTTTAGTTTTCGGACAATGATTCGATTATTCGATTGTACATACAAACTTCGAGCTCATACACCAGAACTGACTTTAAAGGATGCTCTTTATCATGCATTTGTTGCTACGATTCAAGAACAAATTAATACAACTAATCAATTGCATAAAATACTAGATGAAGTTGCTCATAAACAGCTTCAAATAGCTAGTGACACTGGAACTCAAACAAAACCGAATTTATCAAAATTTTTCAATAAAAACGAAAGTTCTTCGGAACATGTCCTATCAAATAATCGTCTTCTTCATGCAGAAACCTGTGGAAAATGTATTATTAGTAATTATCCAGTTCTATTGGAAGGTCCACCAGCAGTTGGTAAAACATCACTTATTGTGCATTTAGGAAAAAAATTAATGGGAACAGGTATGAGACTTGAACGAGTCAATAATTCTAATACAACATCTGTTCAAGACTATATTGGATCACTTGTACCGTTTGGAACACATTTTGAATTTCAACCTGGTTCTCTTGTACGTGCAATGAAAGATGGACATTGGTTTTTAGCAGATGAACTTAATTTAGCTGATCCATCTGTATTAAGTATTATTTTAACAGTTCTTGATCGAGGTGAAATTCGTATACCTGGAACTGGTGAATTTATTCAAGCTCATGTACAATTTCGATTTTTTGCCACACAAAATCCAGCTGGATCTCAATTTAAAGGTCGTAATCGTTTACCACCTATTTTACGTAGTCGATTTATGGAAGTACAAGTAGATGATTTTACTCAGGAGGAGCTCGTTAATATTTTAAAGAAACGTGTTGAAAAACCATTGATTGGCATTCCAAGATTAATTTCAAGTAATAAACTTTCTATGCATCCTAATATTGCAACTGTCATGGCATCTATGTATGTTACTCTTCGAAATAATCCAAATCTACGCATAACAATGCGTGAACTTATAAAGATAGATCGTCGTGCTTCAATGTTTTCCAATGATCCAAACAATTGGAATTTTGCTGCTGCATCATTGTTATTACCAAAATTAAGTATATCTTCAACGCAGTTTGATATTTTAACTCAATTATTAGCAAAAGAATGTAAGCGTGATTTAAATTTCTTTAAGACTCATCCAACACCGCATATAGAACAGAAATCAAATGGTGTTAGTTTTATTCTTGGACAAGTACAAATTTTTGTTGCAGATGCTCAGTTAGAACGATCTGATCTATTCAAGAATGGTTCATGTCCACCAATATCATTTAAAAGGGCACTTGCACACGTAGCTTTTGCTACAAAAGCTCGAGAACCAATTTTGTTGATAGGTCCAACTAGTTTCAAAACATTATTGGTTAAAACATGGACACAAATTACTGGAAGAAACAACTTATTACAAACTGTTCATCTAACTGGCGAAAGTGATGCAAGTGAACTTATTGGACAAATGTATCCATATTCATTTTTTGCAACTTTATGTGAATTAGTAACACTTGCTAAAATTGTTCTTGTGCGATCTGCACTAATAGTTTCGACAAAAGATAATGATAAAGAAAAAAGTTTACAAGAAGAATGGAAAGATTTAGAACAAGGATTAAGTTATCACATTTCTGATTTTGAAA